TGTGCTACATTTGTAACTAAATATAATATTAAAATTTATTAAATTACTTGAATTTGCTTACAAAATTATGAAGCCCAGCAGCAATGTAACAATTTAAGAAAAGAAAATCAATTTGAACGGGAAATTATAACAATCAGACATTTTCACAAAATTTTAAATTAATAAATTTAATTTAAAAAATCAATTTAATTTAAAATTAATTTATCACAACATATTAAAAATAAAATTAATTATTTGAATATATCTTTAAAAGTAACTAGTTACTGTAACTAGTTACTTTTGGCAGTTACATTTCAAAAATTATAACTAGTTACAGTTACTAGATACAATTTTAAAAATATCACTAGTTACAGTTATTTTTTAGCCAAAATGTAACTAGTTACAGTAACTAGTTACCTTAACATCACTAATTTACATATTATTGTAAAAGTGAAAGTATCGTTTTTGTATTTTCTCATTGTATTTTATATCAATAAACACCACATTACTAAAAAAAGATACTAATTTATATTTAAAAATCTATAAAAAAATTTTTAACTCTATATTTATATAAAATTTATGGTCTTCAGCCCCAATCGGAAGGTATATATCCATAGATTCATTTATACATGTATTCCCTAATTAATAATATCTAACACAAATGTATAAATATTACTCAAATATCTTGCCTTCATAACCAATGAAAAAATCCTTAAAAACCCCTAGCTAAAAAAATAAACATTAAATTAATTGGAAAATAAGCACATCTTTTTTGTATATATTCGAATATCAGTTCTCATAATAAATGCATTTTATTTAATATGTTATGATTATTTCACTATTTTGTTTTGAGCTAAAGATTAAAAGAAGTAAAATGATAATAAAAAATAATTTAATGCTAAAAAGAATAAAAAAATTAAAAATATCTATTAAAAATAAGGAAGGCCCTAAAAATTTCGTGAGAAATTATTACAAAATAAAATATTGATGAATTTTGTTTGAATGGAGGAAAATTTATTTAAGAATTTAGGACTAAAATTATATATAAATAAGGTGCAAAATGCATTTTTCAAAATTTGTGCTCTTGTAAAGGCTAAATTTAACAAATTAAATACTCTTCTCAATCTCATCGGCAACAAAAATAATGGTAAAAATAAAAATTATATATAAATTTATAAAATATTCTTATAAAAGATGATGGTGCTCTTAATATAAATACCTAGGAACTCCAATATGTTGAAGTGGTTAAAAGAAAATGTTGATGACATTTACCAATTATTCTGAGTCGAGTTTTAAAAATTGTCACCGACGTGTAAAATATTAAAAGGTAAGAAATATAAAATAATTTTTTAATTTTAAAATTCTGACGATTGCCACCTAGGAACAGTATCATTTTATATTTGTTATATAAAATTAATATATTTTATTAGGCTGCATCCATACATTAATGCAATTGCTAACCTACTTTTTATAATGATATAAATACTGGGCAAAATATATCTATTGATTCTTTTGATGACATTGTAATTTCTGTACATTATATTACTATTATTTTATATTTATTATTAAAAAATCGCTAGATTCAAGATATTAATGCTAACAAAGAAAAGTCTACATTTATTAATAAAAATATGAATATTCCTATTTTGAATTAAATAAGATTGAATCTGAAAAAACAGATATCCTAAGGGGTAAATATATATTATTCTCGAAAAACCATATACCCATCGCCTACTCCATTTTCACCACCTTCGGTAGCAAAGCTCAACGTTTTTTCAAATAATTAGGTAAACGGATTCGCGAAAAAACCGATCAGCCTAAGGAATCACTCTTCTTACGCCAAAGACTTGCTACCGCCATTATTCGCTCTAACTATCTAAGTTTTATCTCTTCCATTGAATAACCTTCCATATTCCTATCTTCCCTTTTTTTTTATCCCCTATCCTTCCCGTAAATTCTATTTCTACATTTTTCACCTTTATTTATTTTACCTTTTAAATTTTTTTTTATTATTTAGTAAATATTCAAATAAAGTAAACCCATGACCGGGAAAAAAATAAAATATTATTTTCTTTAAAAAAATTAGATATATTAGATTCAAATAAAATTAAAAACCTTAGTGATACACATCATATGATAGAGATTTATGAATCTTATTGTTATATAATAGGAAATAATAAATTAAAATATTATATATTTTGGTTATTAAATAGTAATATGTTCAAATTTTATATAACGCCCATTCATTAAATTAATTCTGATATATTATAATTTATTCAAATTATACTTTTATTTTTAGTTTTGCTTTTCGTTTTATAACTTTACCTTTTGATTTTATATTCTAATTTCAGTTTTATTAAATACAAGATTAAAAAATAAATAAAGTGATAATTTTTTATTTTAGAATCAAGTGTTCCAAGCTCTCTTCTTCACTTATTTAAATCAAACTAATGTCATAACAAAAATTTTTTTTTGTTTAGTTTTTTTTTTTATTTTAAATTTTTATTCAATATATAGTTTTCTCATATCAAATATAAAATAAAATAAAAATATATTATATAAAAGCCGAGGTGGGACTACAAGTTCCCAAAAAACATGCGTAATTATATTTTAAAATTGTGATTTGGAGGTTTTGTTTTAAGAAATAAAATTCTTTAGGTTCTGATGTAAGGGCTCTTATCTTATCCCCTATATTTCAAAATAAGATATTTATAAATTTAAAAAAATTATTTTGTCAAAATTTGGCTACATTTTTTTTTAAAAAAAACATTTTGGAGAGATCTTAAATTAAAATAATTTTATATATTTTTCGATGAGGACAATTTAATTTATAATTTAATTTTGATATTTTTTTTAATACTATGAAAGTTATGTTTTCCCTAAAATTTAATAAAATGACCGATAGGTGGCCTTAAATGTTAAAAAAAAGACTTTTGTATTTAAATATCGTTTTAGAAAAAGAAAAATACTATTGATTAGAAATACGTTGTCTTTTATATATGAGTGTATATAAAAATGTGCTAAAATATATATTAAAAAAAAATATTGAATGTGTCGCAATGTTGCTTATTATTTATTATTTTGTTGGATTTTAAATATTTTAAACATTTTAGTATTTATTTTTATTCAAATATAGCCCCCAATTGTTTTTTTTTATGATATGATTAATTTTTGTATTCTGAATTGAAAGTTATTAAGATAGTTTTTATTATTATGTAAATATTTCGCCTAATAATGTTTTTTTTATAATTCTAAATAAATGTGTGGTGGTCCACTATGAAAATTTAATCAGAGCTTACTTTCTCAGAAATCATATATAACAATTTCTCATGTATAATAAAAAGAGTTAAGAATGATGTTTTAAATTTTTTTAATATAAAAATGAATGTATAGGAATCTCTTTAAACACCATAACTGAAAACCTAACATTTATTTTTTGGAATATTCGCATTCTTTTTCCGTTTCATCCACAAAAAATAACTTTTAAATAAGCTGCCGCCTAAAGTTTTTTAAAACCTTGAGTGGTATGCTGGGGTATAATAACACCTCTTCATTCCATAGTTTTTAAGATATGAGGGTTTGGTTTTAGCTGAGGGGTAATAAATTCAAAGTCTTCACCTTGAAATTTTGAAATTTTCCTTATAAAATTATTAAATAAAATTATTATATTCTTTATACTATGTTCAGATTAATATTAATCTGACTTAGTTAAAATTATAACATTAAAAATTTACTATTCTTTTTATTACGTTAAAAAAAATTAATATTACTTTTACTACGTTAATAAAAAATGTACATGAGGGAAGAAAACTCAAATTTTTAAAATAAATAAAAGAAGAAAATCATGCTCATATTTTTAATATTTTTAATTACGTTAAGAAAATAAACAATGGGGAAACAAATATAAAATTGCTTATTTTTTTAGTAAATAAAAAGAAAATCATGCGGATGTATTGCGTAATTTTATGTTTAAAAAGGTACGAGTTGAAGAAGCAAACAAAAAATTGCCTTTTTTTAAAAAATAAAAGAAGAAAATTTTTTGGATTAATTTAAAATGCCTAATAAATGCAATAGTAAGAAATTTTGATGCGAAGAATTTGATATTTGAAAAAGGAAGACGAAAACATACATAACAAATTAAAACTTGCTTCATAATTTTCTTCCGATAATATGAAAAATACAAAAGGCTCAATGGATTTTATATGTTTGGTCATGCCTATTATAATTAAAGGAATTATATTGTATATAAATATATTTGAAAGAGTTTAACGGTAAGAATAATCAACTGGTCATTGTTAAAATCCATTAAAATTATTTGACTAGAATTGAAATAAAATATAATAGATAAGATGTGCAAAATATCATCTGAAATTTAAATATGAATTGCTCTTATTTATAAATATAATTTTTTGTATGGTTTGAATAATAAAAATTTAAACTCCCCAGCAGTATACCTCACGCTTCGCCAGTGAATAAATCCCACATTCGATAAGTTTAAAAATAAAATAAATATAATAATAAAAATAACATTTTTCTTTATATTTCAACATTCTTAATCAAAATTTAGAAATTGGTGATAGAATACTTTTATAAGATTTTGCGTTTTGATTTTTATATTTTTTAAAAAAGTGACATATTTGTTAGTCGTAATGTTTCAATTTTTTTGGCTATCGTTAAAATTATTTAATCATTTAGTTTTTTTAAATTTTAATTAGATATTTAAGGTCACTTTAATAAGTGTTTAAATACAACACCGCACTTTATGAAATTGTGAGTGATACATAACAGTTTAAAATGGAGTTGAGCAATTTTTATTCTACCACTCAAAGTTAATTTATTCCTGCTCATTGATATATGTATATATGTTTGAATTTTAATTTCTTCCATTTTTTAAGGTAGTAATTACTTAATTTTTAAACCTAGAATATAAATAATAATATTTTATAAATTACAATCATCGACAATTAATAAAAAATATCAATTGACAATATACCATTTTTTTGTCATATGTTTCAACGTAACGCCGTTAAAAATAATTTCTTCATAAATTCAATAATTTAATGAGCAAATCCATGGAAAGTCCATTAACAAATAATACTGGGGATAAATATGATTATAATCTATTCGAAAATACAGACAAGATTTTTAGTTCAGCGTCTAAAAGGTAGTTTTATATAATTTTAATATTATTAGACCAGAATATCCCTAGACACGAGGACTTAAAAGCTATGTTAGATAGTAATAAAGATAATTTAAAGCTCGATGCCATGAAGAGGGTTATTGGGGTAATATAAAATAAATTATTTTGATAATTGGGAATGCTTACATTAGATGGTTGCTAAAGGTAAAAATCCATCTCATCTTTTCCCACAAGTAGTCAAAAATGTTGCCTCTAAGAATTTAGAAGTTGTTATAAATATTTTAATCATTCTACTTAAGTTTTACTCTAGATTAAAAAACTTGTGTATGTTTACTTGGTAAGATATGCCGAAGAGCAACAAGATTTAGCCTTATTATCCATAAGTACATTTCAAAAAGGATTAAAGGTAAATTTTAAAATTTTTGGAAAATCTATTCTTATTATATTATAATATATTGTTGTAATATTATAGTATATTTGTTTGTGATATATAGAAAGATATTTTTTGTTGTCATTTGTTAGGATCCCAATCAATTGATAAGAGCAAGTGCTCTCAGAGTTTTATCAAGCATAAGGGTTCCTATGATATCTCCTATTATGATGTTAGCAATCAAAGAAGGTATGAGAGATATGTCTCCTTATGTAAGAAAAACTGCAGCTCTGGCTATACCCAAGCTATATAAGTTTGTATTACATATTATTTTTTTTTATGAAAAAAAAAGAAAGAGCAAATAAAGATTTAGAAATAATATATTTTCAAATTTATATTTCCAATTTCCTATTGGGTATTAATAATTAATCATTATTAGGGCTTTGCTCATTTATAAATTTTTCATTGATTTAATAGGATATCATACAAAACCTATCTGATAACTGTTATCATTTACATTATTATTATTTAGAATCAATCTTTGAACACAAAATTACAAAACATGAAACACTGAAATTTTTTGTTTTTCATAGCCAAGGCAATACCCAGTGCATCGATGGACTTTATCTTTTTTTTATTTCCTAAAATTTAATCATCTCATTTAAAATATGGACAATGTTTATGACAAAATATGACTTTTTAAACATTTTTAAATTCTTGTTGCACATAATGATATTATTTTTAAACATTACAAATAAAATTTTTGGTTACTTTTATTTATTTATTATTAGGAAGTTGTGTTTGAAATAAAAAAAAATTATATAATTTATATAGACAATAATAAAATAACCATAAACAATAATTTTTTTTAATAAAATGTGTAAATATATTGATTCAGCCTATTCCAATATTTAAATCAGTGCAACCCTAATCCTTATATTTTGTAATATAATGTTACAATCATGGAATTACTCAATTAGGTATAATTATGGACAAAATAAACATGCCACCTTATTTCTCTTTAACTCTTTTAAAACCTTTCTTAGATTTCCTATCAAATTAACACTCACTCCATTTATATCAAAATTTAAAATGCACTCTGAGCTTCTCCCATTTTGACTACTTCTAGCTTACACATGAAACAATAATCCAAATCCTCTTGAAATCCATTTTAAATCTCAAATTTTATAATCTTTGATGGCTTGAAGCCACCCTCCCATCTAAATTTGGAGATTTGGGTTAATCTCCATCTAACATATCCACCTTTATTTTTTCAAAGTTAACTACTCAATTTAATCTTGATAACAACAGATAATGTGGGCAGGGATCTTACTCTAGCTAAAAAATGTATTACTGAGCAGAGCAGACATCTAAGATTAAATTTCAATCCCATCGACTTTAACTTTTAAATCCTCTGCCCAAGAATTGCTGAGTGTCATAACTAGTTCAAATTTTGGTTTGAATTTATCTGCAGAGCAACTCGTCGATCAATTTATCGGTCAAATGTAGTCAATTGACCGGAGGAGTATTTGACTAGGTCAAATACGGTCAAGGCAGAATTTTCTAGGGATTTTTGGAAATGATGCTCTCTCTTAATAATAAAGACTTAAGAATACGTAGAAACATAGAGGACCAAAATTAAGGGTTCACTCGAGGTCTGCCTGCCCAATTACGTCAGTATTCTCAGCGCTGGGATAAATTATTTTTATAAATAAAATTTGTTGTTTCTTTGTTTTATTAATATTTTTAAATTATTATATTATATATTTTTGCAAAAAAAAAGTAGTAAAAGTTTTAATATAAAAAAAAAGTGTTGATATTAAATTATAATTTTTAAATATTATATTATATTATTTCCTAATGATAACATCCGATTTTTGCCATATAATAAAATTATAAGAAATTGAAATATAATCGAAAATTTAATTTTTATTTGTTGTTGTGTAACTCATTTAGATTAGATCCGGAACTTAAAGAGTCTCTTATAGAAGTCATAGAGAAATTGCTCGCTGACAAATCAACAGTAATATCCTAATTATCACATTCATATTATAATTTAAAAAAAATAAATAATATAAGTTTATGTAGCCCACAATTTTTTAAAATAGCCATTCCTACAAGTTATGACCTAAAATATTAATCATGTTAAATGCTATAATATATAATATTATTTTCTCTTTTCCCAAAGTTAGTGGTTGGTAGTGCCAACATGGCGTTCGAAATGGTATGCCCCGAGCGAGAAGATATAACCAAACGATTTTTTTCGCGAATGTGCAAGCTTTTTTTTCTCGGAGAACGTCACGGACCAGTCATGGACGAATGGTCTTGTTGCCACGTGATTTATACCCTCACGAGGTTCGCGAGCAGACGATTGCTAGTTGATCCAGTAATTATTATTTCTTTGATATGATATTTATTCAAATTGTATAAACTAATTTATAAGGGTAATCAATAAATATATTACAATAAAGATTTTGTGTTTGTTTTAAATCGTTTTTTTTTTGAAAATATTTTTGGCCATTTCCACATTTTTCAATTCTCTCCAAATTATTTCTTATTACCCCCATTTACTTATATTTTAAAATATTAATATTATTTATAACCTAACTTAAATAATATAATTCATTCATAAAATACTTCCCGAAATTTTCTCTCCCCATCTTTAAGATCTTATATATTCATTTCAACCTCGTGACATTTTAAAGGGGGATATTATATAATCAGTTGAAAAATTATTATCGGCGCCAATGGCCAATAAAAACTTACTCAGACCTATATTTTTTTATAGTCGAATATTCAAAACTATTTCGATTACAAGCCTTCTTATAAGGGCATATAAATATGCCATCAAATTGACCCCTTTTCCCTACATAATATTTAAAACCAAACCATAAAATTTTCCATATAATATTATATAATATAAAAAAGCGTAACGCCACTTCCAAAAGTGCAGTGATTTTCCCCAAAATAGGCGATACTTCTAATTCGACAAACCAAGAGGAGGCCATCGAAATTCATCCCGCGACGCATCCGGATTTAAAGTTATTGCTCAAGAATTGCAAACCACTGCTACAATCCAGGAATTCTGCCGTTACTTATCCTTTCATTTTTATAACCCCCCCCCCCCCCAGGTTTTTTTTAAAATCAAAATTAAAATTGAAGAAACGCTTTTATAAATGGCATAAACGGTGAATGATTAAAACTGTAAAATATATGATATAAAGAAACATGAGTTAGTAGGTATTGGCTTATGCCGCATAAAAGAGAGAGAGAGCTTTTTAGTTCGGAAATTTTGAAGGAAAGTAAAACTGTACCCAATTTTATAGGCATGGAACCACCTTATAGAACAGAAAATAGCTCTATTTTTTGGTTCATATATTTTTTGCTCTGTAAAAAAAATATATATAAATTTTTATTGGTCCGACCCATAGTCCATTCCATCATTTCTAACCACTTTATATTTCCCCTCTCTTCTCACATTCGATTCTTATGTTTAAACAATTCGTTTGTTTTTTTAAAAAATTTTTTATTTCCTGATTAACAGTAGAGACATCGATCTCAAATCTTCCTATATTTTTCACGATGCTATGATCTTTATGCCCCCCCCCTTCCTTCTCTGAATTATTTATTAAGCGGGATGTGGCCTTTTTAAAATTTTGTAAAAGACGGAAAATAAAACTAAAAGAACCCTCTAAAAGTATCTAAATTAGAAACCATTACGGAAGTTAACATTTTTTCGGCTCCAAATTTTAATTAATTTTTTTTTCTTATTTATATCCTGACTCAACTCGAAGTTTTTAAATTTTGAAACCGAAGTTCACTAATTTCCTTATCTTAGATACAATTCTAATATCTTTATTTTGATTAAAAACAAGTGGAAACGTCCATTTTCTGTGTTATTTTTTTTAAAAATTCCTTTAAATATTTTTTTCAAGCCCTGGCAAAAATGATATATATATATATATATATTCTACTAGAATGGCGATTCATTAATTAAAAGTGTCCATATATACAAGTCAGTTTTAGCGCCATTTTGTGGTTTGAGCTTCATTTAATCGACATAAAAACCACAAAATGGCGCTACAGCTGACTCCTGTGCTTAGACATTTTAAATGCATTTAATAAATGAATCGCCAATTTAGTAGTATGTATATATATATATATCTTGACTATGTCATGACCAAACTTAAAGAAAGATTAAAAATTGAGCATGACCCGAAATACATTTTTATAATTATTTGCCCGGCTTGTGGCCAATTTGCATAGCTCTAATCTAAATAAATGTTTCTCCGCACACGCTGTTATTATTCAATATTATATCTATTATTTCTTATTAGATGAATATATATTATACACACCTTCTATAAGGGTTAGTAATAATCCTTCTCTAAATTTCCTGTATTTACTTATAATTTCAACAACGTGTTATTTTTTTCAACTTTAAATCACATTTTTGAGACGGTTTCTTAAATTTAAAATTCTGACTTTACCGGAAATGCGTTTTATTATGTTTGGAATACCTACCCTATAAATTTCAGACGATTTTTGCTTTGAAACTTTGAACTTTGTATAATTTTTATTAGTTTTTTTTATAGATTTTTTTATATAAATTATAAATGAATCAAAACTGTAACGGAAGTATTCCAAATGATGTAATTCATTTCCGGTAAATTTAAAATTAAAAAAAAACGCACACGAAAAATGATTTAAAGCTAAAGTAAAATAATATTGCCAGAAGAAAAAACGCGTAGCCGCTAACATGCATATATATATTCTAATATTTATTCTCTTAATTATTTAAGGTCGTTATGTCGGTCGTTCAATTGTATTATCATTGCGCTCCGTCGGACGAAATGGGGGCCGTCGTAAAGCCCCTCATCAGATTGCTCAGGGGATACGGGTTATAACACTTTAATTATTTTCTTTTTATTTGAAAAAAAAACAAACAAAACCTTAATCGGTACGGTTTTCCGACGATTTTAACTTGAGTTTAGCTTTTAAACCCACCATTCACAAAAATTTTAACTTATTAAAAATGAAGCTTAAATTAAATTCAAATAGGTTTGACACCCGTCAATTAGCCTAAATATTTTAAAATCGTATTTTTTTTAAACCTTTACAGAGAGGTGCAATGTGTAGTTCTGAAGAATATCATTACCTTTTGCGAAAGCCGCCCATACAAGGTATTCACTAAAAAAATATAAGTTTTTTAAATAAGCTATTTTAAAAATTATGAGTTATTTAATCGTTTTCATTCGAAAATGTTATATAGTAGCTTCTACTAGTTTTTTTTATATATTTTCGCTTATGTTTAAATATAAGGTATTATTGATTATAACACTTCTACCTACTATTTAAAAGAACACGTGACACGAATTCATTTTTTATTTATATATATTTTTAAAGGCATTGTTCGAACCCTACATAAAATCCTTCTTCGTAAACCAAAACGACCCAACCCACATCAAATTACTAAAGGTTTAACATTTTATTATTTTTAATATAGATGTTTGTGAATGCCTATAGTGTACATACCAAATAGTCTCTTTTTTTAAAAAATGATATATTTATTTTGTAACAGCTGTTTCTTTCTTTTCATTTTATCCAATTCCTTTTTATACGTACTACATTAAACAATACCATAAGAATTGTAATTCGCATTAACTTATAAAGTATATCATTAAAAAAAAAATCAGCTGATTTTAATTATTTATTTTCTTTAACTCCCGCTTTTCGTAAAATATATTAAGATGTTATTTATTAACCTCTTTACTAAAGATAAAAAGTAAATGTAACATTTGGACTAAATTGGATTAATCCCATTTTTACCTAGCTTATAGGGGGGGGGGGGGAACTATCATTTAGGTATTTTTTTTAAACCCCCTACCTTCAAAACTGATATACTTTTCACGCATGCGCACTAATATATTAAAATATATATCAGTCCAAGAGTAAATCAACTTTGGATTTAGATGATGTCCTTTTTTTTAAAAAAAAGATATATTATATTATTCACAATATATTTTAGCTCGAGATGATAACTTTACTTGCTGAGGAAAACAATATCGCTATCATATTAAGAGAGTTACAAGTAAAAAAAATATTTTTGTTTATGTTATCTTTTTTACTTCCTTTATTGTTATTTACCCTCTACTCTATAATGTTTACTAGTCCCTTTGATCATTTATTTTTGTTCCAATGTGTCCCTACCCATTATTATGGCTTACACCTTATCTTAGCAAATGTTCACATATTTTTTTTTAGTTATGTCATTTTTATCCGCTTGCATTACTCCTATCTCAATTTGCTCTTCCCACACTGTGGGTACAGGGGCTTGCCTAGCTGGTATATTAACACCGAGATCTCGATTTCGATGTCTCATATTTTTGATAGCTTTGATTAGGTTTTTATTTACTCCGTGGAGTATAAAATACCGGCCCTATTCATTTCAAACCCTCAAGGGCTTTGTGATACTCATACCACCCAATCCGAAATCAAGTTGTTTACCAAAATTATTTCTCCCTCATGGAGTAAAAGAAAATAGTACTATCAATTTCATCCAGGTTTTATAACGCTAGTTTATTATTAAAAACATTTTAGCGCCACCTTGCGTTAAAATGTTTATAGCCAAATAGAATATCAAAACCCCAAATTTATTTGGCTAAAAATGAAAAGATGTTTCCAAAATAAAGTTGTTTAAGATAATTATTTTTCCCTCATGGCGTAAAGAAAATTGGTACTATCAATTTAAAACCATCCCAGAAGATTTTATAAAACTAGTTAATGGGATCGTTAGTGGTCGGTAGTAGTACTTGATAATACAAGAACTTAGAAATCGTTACTTTTGATTGAGAATATATGTTTTATTATTAACTATTTATCTATGTGATAATTTAAAAAATTTTTAATTTTCTTTTTCTCAAGATCTACATTATTGCCTTAAACAGTAATTATTTAAATCTGATGTAATCTACTCCAGCGGCTTTATTATTCCCTTTACTTGAAGTATTTTCTTTATCTCCAACGTTGTAAAATTTTAATTGGATGAGCTTTGATCGCTCCTCATAGATGGTACCAGGTATTCGGAGTTGAACATAATAGTGATCGAGCCAGTTTCATTTGTTCTTCTGGGTCACTAATAATTTTTTTTTTAAGTTTGGGAAAACATTTGAAATTTGAAGATTTACAGAAAATTTTTAGTTTCTTATATGCGCCATACAGTTTATTGCATTTATATCAACCTCAATCTCATTAGCCTTATCAACCACATACTTCGTGTATCAGACCTTAGGAGCCTTTGTATAGTTTTCCATAGATCTTTATCTTTATGGCTTTACCTTTAGTTCCGCTATCTTGGTCCCTGATCAGGGGAAAAGGGGAGGGCCTCTGACTCTTGTATAGTCTTTACAATTAGATAGTAATATGTGCTTAAAATCGCTCCAACACTTTTTCATAGTTGAGTACCGATTTGTTTGTATGAATTGTATATCCAATGAAAGCCTGGTAGGCATTCTTGACCTGAGGGCATTTTAAGTTGTTAAAATTTTCTTTAAAGTTAAGTTAGCTAGGTACTCCCCTCATAGATGTACATAGTATATTTTTATTCCTCCACAATTCACTATTAATCATTATATGTCCTTAACCATTTATGGTCAGAAATATTGACTGTAATGATAGCTTTTACATCATAAACCCAATTGTGAATATTTGATAAAATGAAGTCTATTTGTGAAGTCTATTTATTTATGTAGAACCTGAAGATGTGCTGATTTTTATGTTGAAAAAATGTATTTTATACTTTAAGGTTTTTACTTTTACATAATTTTAATAAAGAAAGGCTGTCAGAACCATTTGGGCATGATAATGTAGCCTTACCGATAGTATTGTTTATTAAATACGATTCTATTCTGCCGATCTTATTGTTGAAGTCACCAAGAATAATCAGGTTGTATCTCTTGGGTAGAGATTCGATTATATTTTCTAACTCATCAATAAAAAGAATTCTTTCCATTAAAGTTGGAGGTGCATATATGTTTAGGAGAATAGTAGATTTAAAGGCTGTATTAATGTATAGGGCAGCCATTCTTTCTGACATAGGGGCAAATTTCCTGATCTATTGGCAAATATTATTTTTAGTTAAAAATGCAGTGCCTGAGGAGTTGTTTATAGTCGTACCAGAATTTAGCAATGTAAAATCTCTGAAAACTGCTTTCAAGTCAATGTTCATGTGAGTTTCCTGCAGGGCAATTATGTCTATATCTTTATTGGAGAGTAGTTTGGTAAGGATGGATATTTTATTTTATAGACCATTTACATATAAAGATCCCTTGATTTCTAACCTATTTGGGAAATAGAGTATTTTATGGAAATAACTACTTAATATAATTTGGGACAAAAGCTTAGCACCTAGTCTAGTAAACATTTAGAAAATTACATAATTAATACATAAATAGTACATAGATGTATAATTTTAGAATATACAGGTTCGCTCCAAAATTTAGCACATAGGTTTATGCTTTTCTAATTAAAAATAATATTTACCAATTTGTTAGGAAATTTGTTCCTATATCAGAAAGACTGGCTGATCTGTATATTAATACAGCCTATAAACCAACAATTCTCCTAAACGTACATGCACCCCCCAAAACTAAGAGAGAGAGTTAGAAAATGAATGTTATTGATACTTTCACAAGAGGTGCGTCTGATAATTTTAGGAGACTTCAATACTAAAATTGGAAGTGACGAATCTTATTTAAAGAATAATACTATTGGTAACGCTACTGTGACTTGCCCAAATGGTACAGATAGTCTTGCTTTACTAGAACTAAGTAAAAATCAAAACCTTAAAGTTGAAAATACGTTCTTTCATTAAAATCAGCATATCTTCTACAGAAATAAATATTCTTCGCAGATTGACTTTATATTATCTAATATCCATAATTGGTTTTATGACGTAAAAGTGATTACTACCGTCAATATTTCTGACCATACAATAGTCAAGGGGCACGTAATGATTAAAAGTGACATATGGAGAAATATAAATACATTTTGTACGTCGCCCAGTCAACCCAACTTTAAAGATAATTTTAACATCTTAAAATGCCCCCTGGTCAAGGATGCGGTCTCTACCAGGCTTTCATGGAACTCAACTATGGAAGAGTGTTGGAGCAATTTTAAGCACATATTACTATCTAATTATAAATTATAAAGACTATACAAGAGTCAGAGCTCCTCATCTTAAGGAATATATTTCCCCGATCACGGTATCCAAAATAGCGAAACAAGAGCCATAAAGATAAAGATCTATGGAAAACTATACAAAGGTTCCTAAGGTCTGATAGACGGAAGTATTTGGTTGATAAGTCTAATGAGATTTGAGGTTAATATGAAATGCAATAGTCTATGACGCATATAATAAACTTGAGATTTTCTGTAAATCTTCGAATTTTATTAAAATATTATACATTTTAAAAAGGTTTTAGGGCCACCTTGCGTTAAAATGTTTATCTCCAAATATAATATCAATATTTAGTTAAAAACGAAAAGATGTTTCCAAAATCAAGTTGTTTAACAAAATTATTTTTGCCTCATGGCCTAAAGTAAATTGTTACTATCAATTTTAAACTTTATAAAACTAGTCTACTAATCAAAAATTTATTTAAAAACCAAATTCATTAAATTAATTTAACATTTTAAAAACGATTTGGCGCCATTTTGCGTTAATATGTTTATAGCCAAATAGAATATCAAAACACATTTTATTTTTTTATTTCGTTAAAAACGAAAAGCTTTTAATCAAATTTTTTTTACAATGGAATTTTTAAATTAATTTTGAATGGAAATTTCTATACAATTTTATTATGTCTTTCTCAATTTATATTTTATCCCTTATAAAATCAAATCTCAGTATAGTCTTCACTTCACCTTATAATTTTCGTATATAAATCTTGATAAATTTTTTTATGGGCAAGTTTGCGCTCTCCCTAAGATTTAATCTGGCAAAGATGGTGATTCACATTCTATTCTTTCGGATGTTTAGTTTTACTATGTTTGCGTAAATTGGCTAAAGATTATGTATATTATATATTTAATATTACTAAAATTTATTAAACTTGCAAGCGCTTATACTATAACCGGTATACCTTTTATCACAAATTGTTTCAATTTTCTCAACGCCTTATTTGGGCTAGAACTACAATTAGATCTTAACATTGGAATCGCTTATCACCACCACCCAGGTAAATTGAACTCCTGATTCATTAGAAAATCAGAAGAGAGTTCATTTAAAAAAAAAAAATTTTTAAATAATAATTTGATTTTATTTGTGAGGGATAATGTTGTTTATAAAACCCGATTCGAGTCGATTGCGAAAAACGGCCCGATTATGATTATAACCAAAATAACATTATATACGCCTATAGATTTTGCTCATAGCTGGGTGGAGAAACGCTTGGACATCTATTTGTCAAATCTGCTCCGTTTTTAGGAATCCGACCCAAATCGGACTTTTAATCTTGAGTTTAATTACTAAATACCCAGCATGTTTAAATTGACAGCAAATTATTTATTAATTTTACATAATATCTGAATTAATTTAATATATTCTATTTATATCACATCAGAGCGAAGACATATATAATACCTAGACGGACGATTCATTCATTAAAATGCATTTTTTAAGCGTCGTTAAAAGCAAATCAGCTGAACCCGCAATTTTGGTAACACATATAGTAATTATTCTCATGTTAAAAACTACTATTAAATTGTTAGCTTGCATCCTTACTATCTCCATGATCCGGTAATTCTTTAATAAAGTTTGCCTTCAGATATAGGAAATAAATTAGAGCTCTCGTTTAAAATTTTAATAATGATTAGTGTAACCAAGATGGCGTCTCCAGCTGATTTGCATTGATGTACACTTTTTAATGAATAAATCGTCAGTCTAGGTATTATTATATGTCATTGCATCGGAGATCTTTTTCCTTTCTTCCCCTTTTCATACCAAATCTTATTTCCCTAACCCCAATTTTTATTTTTTAAATCAAATTTCTGAATTAACCCAATTCCCATTTTCCTGCACCCCAAAATCAAAAAAAAGAAGATAACAATCTAAAATTGGACAAAATTATTAAAGAAACGTACAAATCAAACTCAAAGAAAGAAAGAAAGAAACTGAATATATACAAATTTTAAAATTATTCCCTAGATTAAATTTTTACCCAAGCTTTGCATGTTGCGTATCCGCCACAAAATTACTTATACTCTTTTTTCCATCGAGAAAATATTTAACACAAATTTCAATAGATAAAATTTTATATCCATACAACTTCCATAGCATCTATTAATATTTTAATTTTCAAATTTACTTTAAAAAAAAAATATTTCTAGGAAGATGTAAGTAAAAATTCCTTAAATTTTTTTTTTTTGCATTTAAGTGATTTTGAAAAAAAAATATCTGAAAACCTTCCAGCCGATATTAATAAATTTTATGCCGGAAGTGAATGTAAAACGCCCCGCTTATAATTATTCCAAATTCTCGGGGTTTTAAAAAGATTCCAAATAATCCTGAGAATTCTAGGTTTCTAAATCTGAAAGATTACATATCCCGTTTAGCATCATATAGGAATGTTGCTAAAGGGCTCGGTTCGAGCCGATTTTTAAAAACGGCTAACTCAATATTTCCGCCTGAAGATTTTGCTCATAGAAGGAAGAACAATGGCCTAGACATGTGTTTTCGAAATCTCGAATCGGCTCAAAACGAGCCGTTTAACAACATTAATATAAACGATTATTTTTTAAAAAAAATTCTTTTTTTTTGTCATTTTATTTCACATCACCAGACCTACGTTAGTAGCCACGACAAAGAATTTGCGTCAGCTACCATCGCTTGCATAGGGAAGTGTGCCCAAAGCATTCCCTCCATCCAGCAAACTTGCACGGATGGACTGCTCAATCTCATGCATTCATCCAATGGTTTTACACTTGTCTTTCGTTTTTTATTTATTGAAAGAAAAAAAATATATTGTTCGTGGCGCCATAGCAGGGAAACGGGCAAATAATTTTTTTTTTGACTCTCTTACAAAAACGTTATCTCGAACTAAGAATTTTTTTTTTATTTGAATGTCCACTTATCAACGAGATCAACAAAATATAAATTTTTTTAAAATTCAGAAATCAATTAAATCTGATTTAACTGGAAATGTATTCCAGCATGCTTAGAATATCTATAAAGGAAAGGGAAGGAACTTCTCTTCTCTTTATGAATTTTAGATAATTTTACACTTAACCTTTCGAGTAATTTATAATTTATATGAAAAAAATCAATGGAAAGACTAAAAGAATACCTATCTAATGAATTGTGGATAATTTTTGAGTCATTTATAATTTATATAAAAAAAATATATAAATAAAAAAAACTAATTATATACTATATTAAGTTCAAAAGTTCATGACAAAATTATCTGAAATTCGTGAGGAAGCATGATGGGATACATTTCCGGTAAAATCAGATTTTTTAAATTTCAAAAAAACGCGCTCAAAAAAAATGATTTAAAAGTTGAATTGCCGGAAAGAACGCATTGCAAAAAAATGAACCAATATATACAAAAAATTATTAATTTTTTGGTTTTTTTAATATTATAAATTGAATTTTAACTTTTTCTTTGGTTCCAGCCCCAGCTAGTAAAATATCATTGCGCTACCCTATTGAGATTGAGAAAATAAATGGATCAAATTTATTTTGTAACCTGATCAAGTTTATAGTTATAATTGTTTTTATTAGGATATCTGTGCTCGATTATTGGAGGGCTCCATTTAACTCTTTTTTGAATTATTCTTTAGATAGCCTTATAAATGGATAGGCGTGTCTATACACGCGTAATCAAGACAAAAAAATGAATACTTTCAATCTAAAGATGTTTAAATTAGATTTTATTTGATACCCATATCCATATCACCACAGGTCTGAACCCCGGGTTGGCCTGAGCACATAAAAGGGTCGTAAATTTTACGACCAAGCAAATTAACAACACAACCTAGAGGACTCCAATATCGAACGTCGATATTGGAATAATTATTACGTTAAATAAATATTTAAAAAAAAAATTAATCGCAGAACGCGTCGTTTCCGAGAGCGTCATAGTCTTGAAGAATTTGCTCAAACTCGATGTAAGTGTTAATAATATATTCTTCTTCTCCGTTTAATGGCGATTTTGAGGTTTAGCCAGGTTGGCCAGTTTTCCCTCTGATTTAATCATTAGGAAATTTTGTTATCAAGGTTTTTACAATCGGATGCCCTTCCTGACATCAACCCCCCTTTAGGTAGTTTTTACACCCCGTCGAGGAGGTGATCCTATTCTAGACCCAGACAACAGGGGAAACCTTTTAGACCTCCATTAGCAGCCAAAAGACGTTGCCACTTATATATTTTCATAAAGAAAAGAAATAAAAAAAATGATAAAAAAAAATACTAGTTATATTCCACTTATAGATGAGTGACACTTTTATAAATTGATCACCTTTTTACTAATTCGTCTTTTTAGTGTGGAGGTTTTTTTGCTTGTTTTAAAAGCAATTTTTTTTACCATTCGAAAAATTAATTTTGACTTTATAACGTAATAAAAAAAATCACGATAGAGTGATCCCGAATCCCGTTCGGCCATTTTAGACGGCGTATGCGCGTTCGCGGCGTCACCACGTCGCCTAGAAGGTGAGGCGGAAGCATGCGTACTGTGGCTTCTTTGCCGGTTTGTTGACGACCGTCACCGTGTCGCCCGTTTGCCTGACCTGCTAAGGCTCGGAGCCGCCAGATTTCCTTACAGGGTTGTGTATTTTAAATGTATTCCTTCCTTTTTTTCTCTTTTTTTTAGTAGGTAGAATTGTCAATACTTTTTTTGGTGATTAGCGGAAACATCCACGCTACCCATTTACTTACTATTTTTATGCTTTTACATAGTGTTGTTAAACTGCTCAATTTTTAAAAACGGCTATTCCGATATTTTAGCCAAGAATATTAGGCAATCCTGAAGATTTCGCTCCTTGAAGGTAGGCATGCTTGGATATATATTAACAAAATATCGAGGCTCGTATCTGAGATGTTTTGTTATTAGTGAACTATTTTATTATATTTTAACTATATCATTATATTTTTGTACTTCAGTTTATATATATCCTTTTTTTTTTACAAATCAATCTTAAATACATCAATTAATCATCGTACACAATTGAACAATATATTTGAATACTACAATTAATCATATTATCAATTGCCATTAAAGTTTCTAATACAGTAAAAATATTGGACTAACGGTTATTTAAAAATCGAGCCATTTAATAACCACTAGCTTTTACATAACTAAATTCGTAAAGCATAATAAAGATAGATATTTTTGTGAAGATTTTTATTTTATACCATGATTTGTTTTTAGGATAATGTGGTTAAACTTCAGATATTGAATTTAGCCTGCAAACTTTACACGTATTTGACCAGAAATGACGTGGAAGAATTCAAAGAACCCAAACATCAAAAATTGGTGACCACCGTTGAATCGCTTGTCAAGTTTAAAATTACGTTGTACAAATTATTATTATGCCGATGTCTTTACGACTTTAAAACTTAGCTTTATAGTAAGTCAGAGAAATTATAAATCGATATACAATTTCTTAGGATGGTTTTTTTCACTCAATCTTTCTTTCCCCTCCCTAGAAGAGGTAGAAACGAGGAGAAATTTTCCAAGGCAAAAACGGGAAGATTCGTCAATTTTCCTTTGTATTTTTTTACATCTCAGAAATTATGATACTCAAATTTTGTCCCGAAAATTTCCTAATAGATTTATTACCGCCTTTTTTTTCTTTTATTTTGGGCGGGACATGGTGTGTCAGACCTAATTTAGGCCTCGTTTATAGAACGCGCGAAATGCCACGATATTGCTCAAGTGGTTTTTAAAAGGCTCGTTTTGAGGCGATTTTTGAAAACGGCTAACTTAATATTTTATCCAGAAAGATATCACAAGATTTTTCCTTCCATAGATGGCACAAAGGTTTGGACATCTATAAGCGAAATCTTGAGGCTAACACAGTATCATTCTGGCTGAGTTAGCAAAAATCTACTCGAATCGAGCCGTTAGCAACACTACAAGTGACGCCTAATTTACAAAATATAATAATGCATAATTATACGGCTTGGATTATGCTTCTCTTGAGTGATATCGCGATATTTCACGCTTACTATAAACCTAGCCTTACCCCTCATTCATAGTTAGCACGAATTCGCGCTAACTGTAAATGCAGCATTAGCGTTCTTATTGGCCTATCAAATGGATTTTAATGACATGCATCCATTCAAAATGACGATGAGAGTGGCCTTAAAGCAATGCTCATAAATGAAATTGTTTTATTTAATCTATATAAGGGGATGGAAAACATTTGTTTTTTTTCTGTTTTTTTTAAAAAAAATTATTAATTAAAAAATCTATAAAAATATGATCAACCAATATTTTGTCGCAAATTTTTCGTGATCATAATCATTTTATAAGAAAATGAATTTAATATTTGAGGTGTTTCATAATTTCGTTAAAATGATGGTTACGCCATTTTGTTTGTTCTGTTTTTTTTGCGCCCCTAAATATACCCCATTAAAGTTTTTTTTTTATTTATCCTTATTCTTTTCATCTTTGGTTCTTATTTATTTTCTTTTCTAAAATTTAACACGCGATAAGGTACATTTTCGAGTTAGCGAAATATGATACGAACTACGACGTCCGCGATAAAGCACGCATGCTAAAACGCCTCCTCTTCGACCCCGACTGCGATTCGGGCCTAAAGGATGCTATTTTGGGGATTTCGCCCTCTAGCGATGACAAACTCGATTCACAGAATGGCGTTATCTATAACGGCGATGGTATTATCAGCGATGACGATATTGGCGAGAAGGCCAATGCTGATTTAACTGTCAGAGACGACAACAACTTTCAACTGGGAAGCTTATCCCACTACTTAAATAGCAAGTAAAACTTCGGCATATTATCCAGGATATAACTATTTTTGAGTCGTTAATGTCAATACAAATTTGGCCATTTAAAATAGATATTTAAAAAAATATCTTTATTTTTTTTTGTTTTGGTCTGAACCCTTTTAAGCAAGATAGCCATCTTGAAGGAAGATTAGCCTTTTTCTAGAATTGGGTTTATTTATATGAGAGATTTGGCTGGTATGAAAGATGAGAATGATGATAAGCTTTCAGAAGTCTGCAATATATGAATATTCAGGATTCATATATGTGTTATTTGGCGGAAAAAGGTTCTTAACCACAATATAAAAAAATTACCCGATTATCTTTTTTACTGAAACTGAAACTAAAGAAAGAAAGAAAGAAAATCGTTCCAGTTGACCAATAATATTCTATAATAAATATAATGTTTGAATCTTTTTTATTCCCGATAACCATATTGTTTATTACGCTTTTTCTATAAAATTATTTTTTACAACTCTTTGCTTAACCAAAATGAAAGCAACATTGCGTAATATTCCCCCCCCCCCATCAATCTTTATATTTAATAAGGAAATCGCTATGGCTTCCCAAAATTTTATATCTATTTAGGGCCTCATCTTCATTTTTAAACTTCTTTCCTTTCAGCCCTAGACATATGGAATAAAAACTTCCTTGGGATCATCTTAAACATTCATTTTTCTGAGTTTAATTGGGCCATTGCACAACTTTCAACTAAGGAATGTTTGAGATTTCTCCCTCTTTATCAGCCTTCCTTTCTCGTTTTCAATGCTAGAAGGTTATAAGTTAGCTTGTGAGGGGTAGAGCTAGTCTAACTGCCTGTGACTTATGGAAGAAAAATTTATTTCCTTTATCTCTTCCACAGTCCTCGGCACAAAGAGACTTTCTTAACCCTCTTCTGGCTAACTTTAAGAAATTGGCGGGGAATAATGCCTCCCTCGAAGACACTCCAATTTTCAAATACTTGGGATGAAGTTCTGGCTATGAATGCTTAAGACTGTCTCTAGTGTCAATCTTGGTATTTTGCTATCCAAAGAGGACCTGAGGGTTGGCATAGGATATAGATTTGACTCTAACCTATGTTTAACCCATAAATGTAAAGGGTGCAGGTAAGACTCCGATTCTATGGGTTGACATGGTCTAGTCTATTTATATGTTAAAGGTCGGCTCAGTCGCCATTAATTAGTATTGTTAAACGGCTCATTTTGACGGCTAACTCAATACTTTATTAAGAAGAATATTATGTAAGCCGTAAGATTTTGCTCAAAGGTGATACAAAGGTTTAAACATCTATTAACGAAATATTGAGTTAACCGTTTTTAAATCGGCTCAAATCGAGCCATTTAATAGCACTAGTCGCCATAGAGTTATTAACTCTATAACCTCGAACAAATTAGGGTTGGCCAACTACCCTAACCTTCTGGAACCCGTCCACTTATACCTGTCTGTTGGGAAAAGACCATATGGGTTCACAAACATTCCTTGCTTTAGAGGAATACACCTCATATGGGATTTCACTTGTGTCTCCCAATTTTCCTCTAACCCAAACATCGATCTGATTATTACAGCTGAAAGGTCAATAATTAGAATGTACCAAGACTTTTCTGATTTTCACTTTACCCCAATAGTTATTTCTACCAATGGGTCCCTAGGATATCATTTTTTTAAGATTTTAGGTAAAAAGAAAAATTTCTCAAATAAATCGCGATCATGGATCCTTAAAATGTTACGATCACAAATCGCTGTGTTTTGAGGCAACTATCTTAGTTTTTTTCGGATCTCAAAGGGAGCCCATTTTCTTACCCCCCCCCTCCTCCACATGTTTTTTTTTTGAAATTCAATTTTTATATTGATTTATATTTCATGCTATTTTTTAATATAAATCAGATACCTGCAGGTCAATCCTGTATTTTGATTTTTTTAAAAATATGCTCGGACCGGGCCTAAATTATATATTTTTAAAAAGTCAGGGCCGTGCCGAAAAATTTTTTTTTAAAAAAAAATCCGCGCCGGGCCTGAAACAATTAAATCCGGATCGAGCCGAAAATTTAAAAAATCCGGGCCGGACCGGAAATTATAAAACCCGGGCCGAGCCGAAAATTTAAAAAATCCGGGCCGGACCGGAAATTATAAAACCCGGGCCGAGCCGAAAATTTAAAAATCCGGGCCGGACCGGAAATTATAAAACTCGGGCCGAGCCGAAAATTTAAAAAATCCGGGCCGGACCGGAAATTATAAAACCCGGGCCGAGTCGAAAATTTAAAAAATCCGGGCCGGACCGATTATAAAACCCGGGCCGAGCCGAAAATTTGAAATAAAATCGGGCTGGGCCGTGCAAATAGTATCTCTTGCAGGTCTCTAACATTCGGTAAAAATAAAAAAATACCAATTTTTTTTTCCATAGATTCATAATTTTTTTTTATATATTCATTCGTTTTCTAGGGTCGATGCTTATCGGGGAATAAACATCGAAGAAGCCGAAAAAAATGTCGCGATTCTGAATGATAACGGAACGGCTGGCGATATCGATTGGTGGGGTTCTGATTTGAACGCGAGCGAGGCGGAAGAAGAAGAAACGGGTAAAAAAGATCGAAGAAAGGAAACCCTGGTTCCGGCTTCGGAGGAAAATAGCGAATACTTTGGCGGGGGAAAGGGCGGGAACGATGGTTTGTCGATTAATATAATTTTTTCTTTTGGGAAGTTTGAAGGGGAATAAAGAATTTTCGTTAAGATTGACAAGGAAACGAAAATAAATATGGCATATTAAAGAAAGGATGACAATAAAGGGCATCATAATCAGATCAGACATAACTGACCCGAACCGGGGTCCTCCTAACTGATAAGACCGATAGAACTGGACTGGTAACCTTCCTTAATAATATGAGAATAATTTAATATGTCGGGGCCTATCTTTAAAGCGAAAAGGGGTGGGTAAAAGAGGTTATATATTGAGGAATAAAAAGTTTAAAATTTATGATTATAATAATTTGGGCTCTTCATAATATAATTTTTGTATTCTTTCTATCTTTCCTTCTTTCAAAAAAAAAATATTTATCAATTTTGCAGAGTTTGAAACAAAAAATAAAAGGGTTTTTTTTCCCCCTAAAATTATGAGCTAAATAAAAACTTTGAAGATCATAAAATTGAAGAAGTTTTTTATAAAAAATAAGATTTGGAATTTTAAATAAAATTTGATTAAAAAAAACTTGTTTTGAGCATTCTTCAAAAAAATATATTTTTTTTTTGGAAAACATTCGTTAAAATCTTCGTTTTTGAATATCGGTGACACGCCATTTTGGTTTTCCCATAATTTACATGATAATTTTTGTGCAAACTTTAAAATGTATGCATTTAGTTTTTCATTTATAAAATTCTTACACGGGAAACCAAAAAACCATCAGCTGATTAAGTAATTCAGCGACACTTCAAAACGCATTTTGAAGAATGTATCGTTAATCTGGATAAATATTATAATTGCCCATTGTATCTCTTGAGGAGTATTTCAAATCAAGTTCTCAAATATGTTTTATCCATTTTTTTTAATAAAACAAAAGATTACGAGAAATTTCTGGAAGATTCTTCCATGGATAACAATGTTCAGGGTGAGGAAAAAAATTCGGAAACAGGTATATTATTGCAGTTTTAAAAAAAAAACCATTTCCCTATAACATTTTTTTATGGCTGTGTAGAAAAACATCAAGAATTTTAAAAAAGGATATTACTTATTTTCTTTCTTTCTTTTTTTCTTTCCTGTATACTCTGTTGCTATTCGCTACAACTTTTTTTTAAAAATGTTTTTAATTTTCGAAACGTTTAAAAAGCTGATATCGAGTCGGATACTAGTTCCTCGTCATCGAGAACGTCAAACTCTTCTATCAAATCTTCCATCGTAGCCCATTCTTCTCCCGAAAAAAAAACTTTACCCGTGGCCGCCAAGAATAAAAAAAATGTTGTCGGAGTCGTTAAAGATAATTCTTCCACAGAAAGTTCTGGAAATTCCAGCGATAGTTCTGACACTTCTTCTGACACCGAAGATGATAAATTCGTATTACCCACTTCGGGGTCCCACAAAGTAATTTTTTAATTTTTTAAAAAGCGAACTCGGTTTTGACACTTTATGATTCATAATTCTTTGAATATATATATATATAATTATAAAATAATTTGCATATTAAGTCGCGTCTTAATATCTTACTCAGATTAAATAGCGCCATTTTTATAAAAAATATCGTTTGTTAAATTTAAAGATTCATGAGGAAAATGCCACTTTTATAATATCATTAAATATTTAAAGTCGCGCACGCGCATTTTGAAATGGCGCTAATTTAATACGAATCCTTCGAGGAGACTGCCTAACATACCAGTTTAATGAGTAGTGAAAAGGTATGCGTGATAAGTTATCTTACCCAGCGTACTAAGCTATCTTGCCCCGCGATTTCCACTCAAACTTGGAGCAATAATTTTTTTTCTTGTTCCGTTTCCGCTCCTTTAAAAATTAACGTTTCCGCTACGTTCGAGTTCTTTTTAAGATTAAAAATGTTATTTTCCGTTTTTACCATCATAATTTTTCGGAATGTTCTGGATCGGGTTCCGGATGAAAAAATTTATAATCGTGTTTCATTTTCCGGTTTCGGATACCTGCTTTGTATCGATAAATGTAAATTATTTAAATACCTTTATAATATCAAATCGCACAGCTGCTTCGGTCATTTTATTTTTTCTTTCATTTAAAAAAAAAACTTTTCAAACAAGTCGAAACCTAAGACGACACCCGTTCCCACCCGGTCATCAAATATAGATGCCTTACTATCTCTCGATTTTGGTGACGGTTATAGTTTCGTTGACTCGACCCTCACGCCCGTGAGCGATTTTGGCGCGTGCGACGAAAAAAAAGATAAATCGACTACGATAAACGATTCCTTCGCCAAATTATCCACAAATTCTGGTTCCGTTTATCAGGTAATAACTTTAGGAATGATATTAATTTACAGAATGGTGGAGAAGATAAGATAGAAAGAAAGAAAAATGAATTTTAAATTTATATTTTCCCTTATTTTGTTGACAATTTATATATTTAGCCTTGCCCTCCTTCCTTCTTGGCCTCGGATTACACAATCTTGAACGAGGATCTTCCTTCCGATTTTAAAATCTCCTACAAACTCTGTCGGAAGACTCACATATACGCTTCCAACATGCTGAGCGTGGAGTTGAAGTTCGCTAATTTATCGTCCCACGCGGTCAAAAATATTAAATTCGCGAAAGCTATACTGGTGCGAACATTACATTTTTTTTCTTCTTTGGTGTGTGCTACTTACCTTACAAATTAATTATCGTTTCACCTAATTTTTCTCAAGATCAAAAAAAACCATTTTTAAGATAGTCGGCAATATAAGTGTTCGGTTCACTTTCCCTCAGTTCAATTTGCCTTTTTGGGAGTGCATGCCATGTTAACTAACTAATAAATAAGGCCTTTAAAACTGTAATAATCGTTAAGAAAGTGTTTGTTCTGTTTAAAAAAAAGCTATAAATTTCTCTTCCTTAATTTTATCAGGATTAAATATTCCATTTTTAAGATAATAGTCAGCAAAATAAGTGTTTGGTTTAATTTGCCTTCTTGTGTGTTTATGGCATGTTAACTAACTAATAAATAACCCTGTAATAATCGTTAAGAAAGTGTTTGTTCTGTTTTAAAAAAAGCTATAAATTTCTCTTCCTTAATTTTATCAGGATTAAATAATCCATTTTTAAGATAATAGTCGGCAAAATAAGTGTTCGGTTCACTTTCCCTAAGTTCAATTTGCCTTTTTGGGTGTGCATGCCATGTTAACTAGCTAATAAATAAGGCCTTTAAAACTGTAATAATCGTTTAGAAAGTGTTTGTTCTGTTTTTAAAAAAAGCTATAAATTTCTCTTTTTTAATTTTATCAGGATTAAATAATCCATTTTTAAGATAATAGTCGGCAAAATAAGTGTTCGGTTCAATTTATCTTGTGTGTATATGGCATGTTAACTAACTAATAAATAACCCTGTAATAATCGTTAAGAAAGTGTTTGTTCTGTTTAAAATAAAGCTATAAATTTCTCTTCCTTAATTTTATCAGGATTAAATAATCCATTTTTAAGATAATAGTCGGCAAAATAAGTGTTCGGTTCACTTTCCCTCAGTTCAATTTGCCTTTTTGGGTGTGCATGCCATGTTAAATAACTAATAAATAAGGCCTTTAAAACTGTAATAATCGTTAAGAAAGTGTTTGTTCTGTTTAAAAAAAAAGCTATAAATTTCTATTTCTTAATTTTATCAGGATTAAATATTCCATTTTTAAGATAATAGTCGGCAAAATAAGTGTTCGGTTCAATTTGCCTTCTTGTGTGTATATGGCATGTTAACTAACTAATAAATAAGGCCCTGTAATAATCGTTAAGAAAGTGTTTGTTCTGTTTTAAAAAAAAGCTATAAATTTCTATTTCTTAATTTTATCAGGATTAAATAATCCATTTTTAAGATGATCGGCAAAATAAGTGTTCGGTTCAGTTTCCCTCAGTTCAATTTTCCATCTTGGGTGTGCATGGCATGTTAACTAACTAATAAATAAGGCCTAAATAACTTCATAACATTTTAAGTTAAAACTGCAATGATCGTTAAAAATGACTCGGAAGTGATTGTTTCAAAATTTAAAATTTTTTGAATTGGCACTTATTTTTTTACTATTTATGATAGACCGTCACTTGTCAATCGCAGCTTTTTTTCAAATGTAGTAATTGTAAAAATGCTTCTTTTTTTAAAAAAAGCGATGCGAGGGAAGCTTTAATTTTTAAAATCAGCTGATTAAAAATTAAAAGAGATCAATTGAAACTCTTCTATAAAGGTTTATAGCGAATTTTTTATTCTCCGTTTTTTAGAGTTTATTTATAAAACTTTAAAAAAAACAAATATTCTCCCCTACAAGAATTATAACGATTATATTATGGCTTTGTTTTTTTAAATATTTGAATAACTCTTACTTATATAGAACACCGGCACTTCGGAAGGCGTCGCGTTTAGACCTTTCTATGACATTGGTAATATATATACTCTTAAATATGATGTTATCTTTTTTAAAATTATTCTTATTAGAAGGAAGGATCTATATTAATTAATTAATATAATTTTTTCGTTTTCATTTTATAAGTTAAAAAAATAATAATAATTGACTTAGAAATGATATAATTCAGTTTTAATATGCTATATATGAATACGAATGAACCACAGCTATCCTCAAACCCGGACAAGATGTTCTAGCTAATCTAGGACTCGATTTTGGTGACAGCTTACAAACGGCTCATTTTCCCGTTCGCTACGTGCCCACAAGTGGCGATAGAGCGAAGGCCAATCAAAACGACATGGAAATGCCGAGCGAAACGACCAAGAGTATAGACGTCGCTATAACGGCTCCTTTGGGGGAGCAAATGTACCCAATCAAGATGAATTTCGATCAATTTACTATCGAACAATGTAATTTAAATCTCTCATTTTTATGGCATTCTAAAATATTATATAGATTTATTACCACAATACAATATATACCATAGTTATAACATTAATATACCATCCCGTGAAAAAAAATGATAAAGCCAAATTGAAGGGTCTAAATGAGACCTGCCAAACAATCACTTATTCCTCGCCTCGATGTGACATTATATCCCAACCCGACTTGCTCCAAAAATTCAGGACAATTTTACTCAAATCTTTCAATATGTTTGCCATAGAGCAGCTTCGATCGAACGAGAACCCCCACAAAAATTCATTGTGTTTCGCCGCCAAAACGATATCTCGCGGACTCCTTGTACTGCTTCAAATCGAAAGCGGTGCTATAGACGTTCCCATTATTTCCCCCCGTGACGTCAATGACATAAGTAGCTTTCATATGAAAGTCAGGGTTAATTGCGAAAAAATGATATTTGGGAATGGCCTGGTGAAAGAAGTGACGACATGTGTCAAAGCCTTTCTCCTTAGCGCCGCCGCTGCCACCAATTGAAAAAGAACCAGATTTTTAAAAAAAAATATATATTATAATATATTGTATTAGTTTATATCGACAAATTTGTCACACATGCACGTCACGCCATATTGGGAATCACTTGTTTAAATAAATATTTTAATATATTTTAATTACTCTAAATTATTGTACCAAAAATAAAAATCACACTTAATATATTTGGATCTGTGTTTTAAATGTGATTTATTGATTCGACTCTTTTATTTATCAATTTTAAAGGTAATATAATGCGATTGGTCGAATCGTGTTTATTATGGACTACTAAAAAAAAGAAAAGACTTTATAATTTTTTTTTTTTCCGCGAATGTCAAAATTAATTATTTTTTTAAAAAAAATATATAATTTTTAAATTATGTATTGAAATGGAAAGGAGTGTATGAATTTAAATATATATAATGTATTCTATTCAATTCTTTTAAACGAATTGTAAAAATATGCCAATCCTATATTTATGCCAATCAAATAAGAATAATAAATTCTATTAATTATGCGAATATTAATCTATTCGACTTGTTTAAAAAAAATCGAATTCGTATACGAATAAATCATTATTTGATTCATAACTCATCTCTGAATGGGCTATTTGAATATCGGTTTATCAACCGGAAGAAAAACGTAAATAAATTTTGAAAATAAATTATCTTCTAACACTACATGTAAAAGAACTGTGAATTTATAAATAATTTGACTGGCGTAATATTTATGTGTGCCGATATTTTAGCTGAAATAAAGAAAAATAGTTTTTGGTGGTCACCAGATATATGGGTAGAAAGTTTTTTAAGAAAGGATAGGAGGTTAAACTCTTAAATGCCCAATATAGAGACGACCACTGGAATGAAGTGTATGTTATCAATGAATATCTGTTCTTTTTCTGATTTACACTAGAGGAGAGATAATTTTAAAGTATGTTGGAATTGGCAAATACATCAATATAAGAAATTAGCTTAGGATTCTTAAAATGGTAAGAATGTCAGAGACACGATTCTAAGTATCCTGCTTTTCATTATTATTTAACACAAACCTTGAATAGGCAGTCGTGGACTGATTATTTATAAATCTTGAAAGATTTAGCTTTTTAAGATTCTTAAATTTAAAAAAAAATATATAAGATTGCCAATTCCTCAAAAAACATTCTGGTTTGTCAGCCATATTGGAACTTTTTTTTATTCTTCAAGACAATATTTTTTTTAAGTCTAGGTCCATAACATTTTTAAAAAAATTCGAAAAATGTTTAAATTTTTGAAAATTTATAAAATTATGTTTTGGACATGTTTTTTACTTTTATATTTAAAAATATCTCATTTATTTATTTTCATTAAAGTTTGTGAATTTCATTTTTCTTGATAGTTTTGAAACGGCCATAAGAAGGAACATAATATATCAAATTATGAGTAAATTTTTTAGGGCTGGATCCAATTTTTGAAAAAAAAAAAATCTAAAATCAAAACTGAGACTTAAAATAAATAAAATATGTCCTACGATATTTAAACAGATTGAGCTGATCATTTTTCCCAAGACCACCGATTAATGTTGGGACCTTGAGATTAACTAATAATATTTACTCCTTTCATAAGTTTGCCTGTTATAGTCATAAGGAGAAGGAGGAAAAAATAACAATTATTATAAGCGGATTTTATTGAAGATGATTACATTTTATTAAGGGTATTACCCATCTCGGCTGTCTAATAACAAATTATTTAGCTTTCCTTTTTTTGCAAGATATTGCTAACAAAAACTAGTCCAGCTTCTGGAGTGGGACGGGAAGAAGGGGAGAAGAGCAGGTTGTTAAAGTAGGGCGCTACTATTTCTAGCGATAGCTAATAGGACCCTACTTTTCTACTTTAAAAAAATTTGAGATAGAGGTGGCGTTCTCGCATTTATAAAATAATTAAGTTGAGCGAGCATTATTTTAAAATTTTATATAAAAAAAAATATACTAAAATTTATTTATGATTTCATGATTAACCTTAAAATAATAATCTTTGTAATGTAACTTAATTTAATTTTGAAAATTTAAATTTATAATTCAAAATTTGTTTTATAGATCTAATTAATCGAATGATTTAGAATATACCCACCAACAGAGATAGATATGGGAAGAGAATTTGGAGATAGATGTTAATAATATTTTACTAGAAGTAATATTCTAGAATTACATTTTTACCAAATATAATATTCTAGAATTACATTTTTACCAAATATGCAATATTTTAAACTTACCCAAAAAAAATAATAATACAGGATTTAAATTTAGGGTGCATATAAATGGAGAAGGACCGGCGCGTACGCAGGGGGGGGTAGAGGGACAAATACCCCCCCCCCCCCTAGCCATAAAATGCAGATGATATATTTTTCAAAAATATTATTGTTTATATTTTACAATATTTATTCCTATCTCTTTCTTTTTAAATATATATTTAATTCATCACATTCATTTACTAAGTTCTTTTATCAATTAATTTCGATTTCAGGTTTTCCTTGTAATCTATTGTTTATTTTCAACATCCACAAACTTTATGTGCTAATCGAAAGTTAAAATTTCAAAATAACTATTTTACTAGATGGCTATGGCTAGCATTCTCTATCCTTGGGAGCTAATTGCAAGATATGTGTCCTGTTTGACCCAACATATGATGGAAGAAACTTAGATAAGCTTAACAGTCTTGCTAAAACTCCATTCAACAAGTACAAAGATGCTGGAGAAATCTTTGACAATCATCAAAAAACAAATTATCTCAAAAGCTATGAACTGATGACTTCTTCAAATTGATTCAAAGTGGGGATATAATTCCCATTTCATCACATATTGACAAAAATAGAATTAAAATAGCAAAAGAAAATAGATGTAAGATCAAACTAAATATTGATTACATTCTCTATTGTGGATTGCAAGTAGCATTACGTGGCCATTTGGATTCAGGAAGCTTGGATTTCAATAATAATGAATGAAGGTAGTTTTAGTGATCTTGTAAAATTTAAAACATTAGGGGATTCTGCATTAATGGAATACCCCAAGCGACAAATATTTTAAACAGAATTATTTCTGAAACTTGTCAAACAAGGAGAAAGAAATTGCAAAAACTTGTCCAACGAGATGGAGTCTTCGCCATCAAGCAGTAACAGCTTTTATTTATGGAGTTAGAAGAGTCAATTATCAATGCTCTTACTGAAATATTACAATGGTCTGAAAGAGATATTTTTTCGGAAGCAAGCAAATTATATTAGATTCAATACTTATACCAAATTTATTTTTTCATTAGAATGTATTAATAAATTATTTAATTATACCTGTTTTATGTAATACTTTATATAATAGGTTTCTTAATATATTATTTGTGCACTTTTATTCTTTTATGGTGTTATATATTTTTTTCATGAATACTATATAAGTTATTATATACAAATACAATTATTCCTAAGAAACTTGTGTATTAATCTTTATTTCCAACATTTAAATTTTTTTTTACTTTATATATAAATTTTAATGGCTCAAAAAATTTAAATTTTTATTTCTGGTCATTTATTTTATAGTGATTCATATGCAGATTATATCCACTAAATATTTTATAATTCACATTTATTTTATATTTTTTTATATGCCACCGGTTATAGCCGTTTATAATTTTTTAATTTACATTTATTTTATAGTTTTTTATATGCCGGTTTATATATTTAATTATTAATAATTCAACATTATTTTAAAATTATATAATTAGAAATAGTTATTAGTCCTAAAAAAATGTATGCTTGATATTTTTAAATAACAATAATTTTATCTTATATTACCCCCCCCCCCTCCCCTTAGCAAATTCCTGCGTACGTGCCTGGAGAAGGATAATATTCTTAAAATAAATGAAGCAGAAACAACTTAAAAAAAAAACCATCTATAGATAATATTCATAAATTTTAATAAACTAATTACCAGTGTTTTAAATTTAGAATGTCTATACCTAAAATTTCCGAGAGATTTAAAAATATGTTCTTAGATAGTTTTGTCGCACTAGAGAAGGCTACATCTATTTTTTTATATATAAAGTATAACGTAAAAAGTAGTTAATAAATAGCGCACTACATTTTTGTAAAAATAGCGGTAGCGATATAGCGATACTTTTAAAAATAGCTTCTTTTAATACTGTAGAAATGGGGGGGGGGGGGGGTGGAAAGCACCTATATATTATTTTCTGCAATCTTTAAGCCAGATAATCAAAATGACTAACTCGCAATCTTCATTATATTATTTTTTTTTATATTTTATTCAATATATATTTAAGAAACTAAAATTACTATAAACTATATAGGAAAATGCATAGACCAACTATATAGTGGTAAATTAATATTGACTTATCATTTAAAAAATAAGCGAATCTCAACTGAAGGCGGGAACGAGGCATAAAAAGGGAAGGTATGAATCCACACCACCACTTGGGAATTCTTTGCTGCGCCTATTGGTTGCCGAACATCATTTTACGATAAAGGGTGCAGAAAGTGTTATATGAATTGTCTTATAGAAATATTTGTTTTGGGATAGAATTTCAATGAACGAAATGTTATGACAAAATTATTAGCACCAAAATTAAAAGAGTATAAATATAGTTATTCTATTTTAAATTAATCACTAAACATACTAAAGCAAATTTAAAAAAATTAAAATCTCCATATAATGTAATGAAATTCAAAAGATATACTATACCCACTTCATTGAATATTATTATTTCGTTGAAATATATCAATAAAAATATTTTAATTAATCAAGATATACGCGAAATAATTTTTATTTAAAAAGAAAAATTCCAAATCGTCTGCATATTTTTCTTCGTCATTCCTTGTAAATTAAGTTTCTTTTTTAAAGGAAGCAGACAATATAGATAAATATAATATATATAAAGTGATATACGGAAGAGAAGTAAGCACCAAATTTCAAAATTATATGTTTTTTGTTTTATATTATTAACAGGTATTCCTTACATTTTTTGCTATTTTTATATTTTTACTTTGAGGATGATCTAGAGAGCTCTTGTTTATTATCTGTTTTAATGCTTTTGAAAGATTTTCCTTTTTGTTTTTAAAACCTAATTTGAATGATTGACTAACTTAGATTTCGTAAAAAAAAAACAAAATAAAACCACAGGCCATGTTTTCGATACAAAAAATAAATTCAATATTCAAATTTTAACTTCGAAAATAGTTAAAATGTTTTTTTGAAGATGCATAGCATAATCCTTGTATTTATTCTTTATAAGACATAGAAAAGAAATGTGTATGAGTGATAGGTTGAGATGTTTAGACCAATGAGAAAACGAATTATTTTTTATCTCATATTTATATATCTTTTTTATAATTAAAAAAATAT